TCTCTTCCAGGCTGGGCTGCCTCCAGAAGCAGGTTGGGGGAGCCATCTGCTGAGCCACCCAGGAGATCCTGAGCAGCCAGGTCCATCCCTGCTGCACACACAGAGCTCAGTCCCGTGAGGAGCTGTCAGTACCAGATGTGGCCTCGGGCTCCTGCCCCACGCTCTGCCCACAGGGAATGGGGGGGTGCTGCCGGGACCGGGTGGGAACCTGCCAGCCTCATGCTGCACCATGGGTGTACACATGTAAATGACCCCTCCTAAATCAACGCTGCCTCCAAGACTCCTCTCTAGCCTCTCACTTTTGTTATGGACCTTGACAGGGGTTTTATAGCTATATTTTTTGTCCTTTCTTTTCCTACAACTGTCATATTACTAACTGTTGACTCAATCTATCTGGGAAGCCAATCTGTCAATGTAAGTGCACTTAACCCTTGGGTGTTGTCATTAGTCAACTGGCTTTTGCTAAATAAATCTTTCTATTTCTCAAGGCTTTCTGTTGTCTCTTTCTTCTCACTGACTCTCTCTTTCTCTACTTCCTTCCCTCTCCATGCTGGGTGCCAGCACCAGCGGTGGCATCCTCTGGCCTTGTGGAGACCCCCTCCAACCTAAGCTTCCTCTCCTGTGGGACCCCTGCTTGTGGTGCTAGCCACAGGATGCCCACGAGAGCAAGGTGCCCAGAATGTTGCTGGGAGTAGAGGTGTTTCAGTCTTGCCCTTCAGCCACTGCACAGCACAGGCTTGTCTCAGGGCTGATCCAACAGCTGGAGGGTGCCAGGGGCTTCCTGGCATCTGCAGAGCTCCCCACAGAGATGCAGAGATGCTAATCGGCACTTCCAGGGGCTTGGGAAATATTTGGCAGCTGGAGAAGGAAAAATAGGGAAGAGCCTTTCTCAAAGGATGGCAGAAGTGTTGTGTAGGCAAAAAAAAGCAGTGCACGGGCAGGATCTGACTGCTTCTGAAACAATTAATTCTGCTGCTGGCAGGAGTGATGGAGCAGTGCCCTCCCGTGGCAGCTGCCTGGCTGCTGGGGCTGCACGGACACCCTGAGGGCTGCAGCCTCCTGTGCCTTGAGCTCCTGCTCCCCCAGGACCTCGGGCCTGCAGTAGAACCCCTTGCAGCTGCAGCCCTCCTGGGAGCTGTGCTGGATCTGAGTCGTGAGCAGCCACAGTGTGGGGAAGATGGGGCAGCACAGCATGCACTGGTAGCCACGCTGGATCACAGGCTGGCACTGGGAAGCAGTGAGTTTGTCCTGGACCATAATTCTGGCTCTGCTGCTGGCCAGCCTGTCCCTCTCAGGGGCTGGAAGTCATGTGAGGAGCCAGAAGAGAGGTCTTCAAGAGGTTGCCAGGTTGCTCACACTCCTGAGAGCTGGTGTCCAGGCTGGAGAAGAAGCTTCCCATGCACTGCTGGGTGGCTGTCTTGGTGCAGATGAATAGCTGTGGGATGAACCCCAGGGCTGGTAGATGCTGCAGGTGCAGGCAGGGAGCTGTTCAGCAGGACTGTGGGCCCTCAGAATGCAGAGAAAAGGGCCTGCAGTGAGTTGGAGGTCCCTGTAAGAGTCCAGCCCCCCACGAGATTGGAGCAGCACTGAGAACCCTTCCTCTCTGCCTGTGCCATGCAGTGTGGAGGTGGTTGTCTCTGTCCCAGTATGTGACCCCGGGATGCAGAGGTGGAGTTGGGCAGAGGATGCTGATGGGCAGCGAGGCCCCAGAACAGCACCAGGCTCACCCAGGAACTAGCTGGAGCCATCACACAGACCCAGTCTGACATGGAGGCAGCCATGGGGGTTTGAGCTGGCACTCCTGGGGGCAGACCCCACAGCTTCAAGGAGTCTTGCTGGGAAGACATGGTGGAGAAGCCAGTGTAGCTCATAGGTGGGGTTTGATTGTAGAGCCCTTTCCTCTGCAAGCACCTGCTGCCACCCACCACAGAGACCCAGCCTGGGCTGAGCTGAGGGAGCCATGGTGGGGTGGGCAGTGCAGAGCCCACACCGTGGGTCTCCCAAGAGAAGGCCCTGTGGCTTTACCAGGGTGTGGCTGACAAGGGACCCACCCCCATGTGAGTCCCATCTCTTCAGGCAGCATGACATACCTGAGCAGGGGGTTGGCAACACACCTCACCTGGAAGGGACAGGTGTGGAAGGGACAGGCCTCTTCCCTTGCCATTCCCCTGGTAAATGCTTGCTCGCTCTCTCTTCTTCCACAACCTGCTTCCCAAGTCACTTGGTGTCAGGTAAGAGAAGCTCTCAGTGTGTTGCCAGTGCCGAAGTGGGGCCCTGGGCTCACTGCTACCCCCTCTTGCCCCACAGTGGTCCCCTATGTATCATTGCCCTGTGCAGCCCTGGCATAGATCCTAGCTGCCCACAGCCTCTGCAGGGCTGTAGGAACATCCTCCCAGTCCCCAAAATTGTGTTCCCACAGTGCTGGTGGGCCAGCCCTGCTGGGATCACCCCTCCAGCCTGACTCACATCCTCTCTGTTCCCTTACCCCTTCCAGTGGACCAGAGCATGTTTGAGAACGCCAGCGCTGGCACAGCACCCACGCCACGGGCACAGCACGTCACCCTGCTCCAGCCCTGCCGGCCCGCTGGCAGCCAGCACCTCCGCAACCTGGGCAAGGCTGTGGGCGCCAAGGTGAACGACCTGCTGCGCCGCAAGGAGCCGGCCAGCCTGCCTGCCGTGGGAGCCATGGAGGTGAACGCCAGCGTGGGTGCTGTGCTGGGCACGGGACAGCCGGCTGCTGAGGACGGGTGAGTGTCCCCGCAGCGTGTACCCCGTGCCAGGGTCGTTGGCGCGGGCTGGAGGGGCCCGGCATGGGGCTGTTTGCAACTGTCCCTCTGTGCTTGCAGGGCTGTGGGGCTGGATGCCTTTCCCCGGCTGGACCCCCCGCCCGCCATCACCAAGAAGCGGACACCGCGTGCCCTGAAGACCCCCCAGGACATGCTCATTGCTCCGCAGCCAGAGAGGACCAGCACGAGGAGTGGCACTGATGAGCCTCCCGAACCAGCCACAGCTCACCCTGAGCCCACAGAGGAGCAGCTGGGGATGGGGGACCCGTCTCCTCCAGAATGCCCTGGTGTCCTCAGTGTGACGGGTGCCCTAGAGCCCAGCGGGGACCAGCCCACCAGTGCCTTACCCGTGCCTGACCTCATCCATAAGGGCAGCCAGGAGAGCCAGTGGCAAGTGGGTGAGAGGGCCACTGAGATGTCACCCAGCACAGAGAAGACCTCACGGAGACCAGGGCTGGAGCACGAGTCACCAGGGAGCACAGGGCGGCCAGAGCCACGTACCCCTGGCTGGGAGGTGGAGGGGGCCCATCCCGACCTACTGTCCTTCGAGTAGCAGTGGGTAGCTGTGACAGGGGTGCCATGGGGGCTGGCTCTCCCAGACTTGTCTCTCACTGCCACTTCCCTTTTTTGGGATGATTATTTTGGAAAGGGGGAAGCCTTAGAGTGGAACAAGCCATTTTTTCCCAGTGTGGGCTCTGGGGAGCCATGACAACCTGTTTCTCTCCAAATTCCCAGGAGGGGCACGGCCTGTCCTGCCATGGCTTCTGCAGCCCCATTCTGGCCCCCTATTCACCGTGGTCAGTGCCACTGCCACCCTGTCTGCAGCCAGGAGCCTTGCTGAACTGGGAGCCAAGGGGATGCGTGGGGGTAGCAGTGCCAGCCTGTCCCAAATCCTCTTGGCTCTGCTGGAGCGAGCATCCTGTGAACATCCCACAAGCGCCACAGAGGATTTCCCAGCTTACACCATGTGCTTGCTGAGATACCCCATCCTGAGGTACCAGCAGGCTCACCAGCCCTGGTTCCTGGTGAGCCAGGACAGCAGATGTGTCCAGGGCCTTCTCCAGGTGCCAGCCTTGTGGTGTTACTCTGCTGAGTGCCATCTCCTTGCAGCAGAGCTCCAGATGCAGGAGACCTGAGCTCTGGCAGGGTGAGATGGAACTCTTTGCTTAGAGCTTTTGTGTACATCCTCACCACAAAGGTGGTTTTCAGAGGAAAAGCTCCAACCCAAACGTTGGGTTGGAGGAACCCAGGAGCTCATGGATGGGCCTGCTCACAGCTCCTTCTGGGCCACACAGGGTGGTTGGGCTGAAGAAGTGTCTTCCACCACCCAAAGCCATGCTATCCCACTGAAGGAAGGAAGCTGCGAGCATGGATCCCGTTGCCCTCGAAGCAGCCACCAGTGTCCTTGGTGTGGTGATGCCACGGTGGCACTGGGGCCCTGCAGCTCTCCACTCTGGGAAAGAGTGAAGGGACGCAGAGTGGCACAGAGCCCATGTTCAGTGCTGAGGTGTGACACACCCTGTGACAATGTGATCACGCTGTGCATGGCCACCTCCACCCTCAGATACAGGTGTGTGTGTGTGCTGCCCAGGTCTGCACTGCAATGTAGGTGTTGATGGAAACCAGCACTTGTAGCCCCTCTCTGAAGAACCAGCGACTTCAATCGCTGTGATGCCAAGGTAACTTTCCCCTTAAGGGAGGGTTGTCACTCACAGCCGGTCTAGTCCCTCTATTTATGTTATCAGGGTGCGTGTGTGTGGTTTGGGACAAGAGATGCAGATTGCACAATAAATTTTTTTTCTTTTGTACCCACTGATGTGTGGCATCCCCTTGATGGGAGAGGACACCCTGCACGACCCTGGCGCCATGGCGTCATCCTGGTGGGGAGCCAGGGGGCAGAGGGGGAGTTTGGTGGTGTCCAGATTGGGGTGGAGAACGTGGCTGCCGTGCTGTGCTTGGTGCCACTGGGTGGCGGCTGGCCGCGGGTGCAGGGGACCGGATCCCGTGGGTGCTGTGATAATGGGAGCCCGCCGGTGCCCGGGCTTAGGGGGTACTGGGGAGGCGGGACCCCGACGGAAGCCCTGGTTGGTGTCTGGGCTGAGGGCCTGCGACCCCCGGCAGTGCTGAGGGCGCTGGAGCCCGCCCGTACGGGGGCAGAGAGCACCGGACCCGGGTGTACCGAGGGCCCCGCCCCGCCGAGGGCGGAGCCGGCGCCGTGCCGCCCCGTTTCCGGTGTCATGGCGGCCGGAGCGCGGCGGCGGCAGGGGCTGGGGCCGGTGCCGGAGCAGCGGCGCGGCGGCGGCGGGACGGCGATGTGAGGCGGCACGGCGCCATGTCGGGCTGCGCGTGGGGAGCGGCGCCGCCGCTGCTGGAGGCGCTGGGCCGGCTGTGGGAGGTGCAGGCGCCGCTGGGCAGCGGCTCCTCGGCCTCGGTGTACCGGGTGCGCTGCTGCGGGGACCCCCGGGCCCCCCCCGGCGCCGTCAAGGAGTTCGTGCCGCCCCCGGGGCAGCGGCCCGGGCCCGCTCGCCGCCCCGGCGCCCGCCCGCCCGCCGCCGACTGCGCCGAGTACGGGTTCCGCAAGGAGCGCGCCGCGCTCGAGCAGCTCCGCGGGCACCGCAACATCGGTAACGGCACCCCCGCACCGCGCCCCGGCAGCCCTGCCCCCCGACCCCAAACACCCCTGCTCGGGCACCCCTTGTCCCTAGAGCACCCCCCAGGGCAGTCTCCCCCTGCCAAACCGGTGTCTCCAGACCGCCCTCCCAGCCAGAGAAGGGAACTCCCAACTCCTTTGGGAATACAGGCAGCCTCGCCCCCAATACAGGCCAGTGTGCCCCTCGGATTGGCAGATTTGAGGGACCCTAGCCTGGACACCCCAAAGCAGCTTCCCTGCAGTGGGTGCTCCTGGGTACCCCACCCCTTCCCTGAGTGGGAGCTCTGCAGGTGACATCCCCAGGGTGGGCAGGAGAGATGGACAGAGCGGGTTCCTGCAGGCAGGGCACCCCAGAGTCCTCCTTTGGGCAGCGTGCCAGAGCACCAGCAAGGACTGGGTTCCCTGTGGGACAGCCGTGGGACGGTGTGTTCCCACTGTGCTACAGCTCGAGGGCTGCCTTCCTGGGAAGGGAGGAAGCCTGTATGTCAGAGGTGATTGCTGGAAATGCCAACGTTCACCAACCACTGATATTTTTTGTCAGAGTGAGATACTTTTCAATGCCATAGTGTGCCTGGACACCCAGACAGCACCTGGGTTCCCACTTTGCAAAGTTTGTCTGTTGTGGGATGAGATTGACAGGTCTCTAAAGAGTGGCACTGTGTCCTGTTTGCCCACTGGGATGTGCTTATCCATGTCCCAGAGACTGACCTTCTGAGCAGGAGTGCTCAGCCCTGTCACTTTAGCAGAGCCTGGGGAGTGTTGTAAGACTAGCCTGTCCTCTGAAGCTCGTGGCGTGAAGTGACTGCTTTTCCCTTGCTTCTTCTTTCCTCCCTGGTTCTCCATCTCTCTGAACATCACCCGTTAAAAGCATCTGAGCTGCCTGCCGCAGCTTTTGTGGTGTGGAGCAGTGGAAGGTGCTGGCTGCGTGCTCGTGACCGATGCCTGTCCCTGTGTCTCATTGTAGTGACGCTCTATGGCGTGTTCACCAACCACTACTCTGCCAATGGGCCGTCTCGCTGTCTGCTGCTGGAGCTGCTGGACATCAGCGTGTCCGAGCTGCTGCTGCACTCCAGCAACCAGGGCTGCTCCATGTGGATGATCCAGCACTGTGCCCGAGATGTCCTGGAAGCCCTGGCTTTCCTGCACCACAAAGGCTATGTGCACGCAGACCTCAAGCCACGCAACATCCTGTGGAGCGCAGAGGAGGAGTGCTTTAAGCTCATTGACTTTGGACTTAGCTTCAAAGAAGGGAATCAGGTTTGGAATGTGCTACTCTTGAGGCAAGATGTCTCTGTGTTGTTGCGTCGCTCTGTGATGTTTTCCAAGTGACCTGATCAGAGCAGGAGCTGAGCTGGTGCTGAGGGTTAACTGCAAAGGCTGAAATTATGTCTGCCCCAGACACTGAAGCTGTTTCCATTCTGCTTGCATGTCTCTGGTTTCTGTTGATGTCTTAGCCTTTGTGCTACAATTTCCAATGTTAATTATGCACTGAGAAAAGTGGCGTCTCAGCTTCCTGGAAAGTTTGCTAGTTTTTATGTGGTCACGTGAGTGGGAGCACCCAGAAATGTAGAATTCCCTTTTATCATCCCTTACCGTGTGTCATAGTAATCCAGGCTTTGCCATCAGCCTCCCTAGCCAAGTGTGTTATCTCTGGCAGTGTCCTTGTGCTTGCCTTTACTTTCACCCTATCTTCAGCAGCCTCCCTTCCTTGGGAAATCTGGATGTTTCTTTCCCACATGTATAAAAAGTCCATGATCTGGTCCTGAGTGGGCAGTATCTGTTCTTTACTGACACAGACAATTTCTGCCTGTTCTACTCTTTGTCCCATTTGCTCGTCTCCTGCTCAGTCTTCTTGCTGTCACTGTTGTTTTGGTGATACTGTGTTGTTTGTCCTTGCCCATTTTACTCTCTTCCATGGCTTCTGATGGAAGCAGAGAGCCTCAGGAGGTTCTGGTGTTGGCTTGATAGATCTTCCTTTCACTTCTCCCTCTCTCAGTAGTGACCTGTGAGGAGTCTTAATAAAGCTTTTCCATCAGGTAACCTTGTAGCACACTTGCCTTTAGTCAGTGGGTGATAGATGGTAGTTTTTTCTGTGCCTTCCTACAGTGTCCTGGTTTGTCCTTATTCCATGCACTTTACCCACTTAGCAGTTTTAAATTTATTTACTTTTTTACTGGTTTACCTGATATTGACAGCACAGCCCACTGATTGTGAATATCAGAGGGTTGTGTGGGTGACCTATCTCTGAATTCTTTGGTACAAGAGTTGTTTTCAATGTTTGGACTTCTTAACTCCCCCGTGTTGTCTTCAGTTCTCCCACATTCTTCGCTGAGTTTCTGGTGGTAATCTGTTGCTGTCTATCAGCAAAATACCCACTCTTGGTGTCCTGTGTCTAAAGCAGGTATTTTTATTTAATTCTGGTCTGTGTTTTGCTGCTTGCTATGTGAGTTGCCTCATAATAGTTGATGGGGTTTTATTTGCTTCCATGGTTTCTTCCAATCTGCTTTCTTTGGGCTGAGTTTCCTTTGTCCTTTCTCAAAAACACACTGGTTGTATGGGTGAGCTTTCTGACCTTGCTTTGAATGTGCACCAGGTACCAATATCCCGTCCCCACCCCTGACTTGGGCCACAGCCTACATGTGTAATTTCCTTATCTGAGTCAAAGACTATGCTACTTTTATTTATGACAGGCCTGCCAAGCTTATCCTTGCACAAAATTTTCTGCCATTGCTGTTTAGCAGGGAATGGTTGTACACAGAGCAAGGTCTCAACCACTTAGAGCTCTCAAAATGCTTTAGGTGGTAAGAGTGAAATTCCCTCTCTCTCTTTTTGCTGGTGCCATTGATCACAGTGTTTTCTCTATCTCTAAATGTTGTTTGGGGCCCTGCCAAGTTGCTGCTATTGCCATGCTGGAGGTTCTGCTCCCTACTGATAGGAGGAGGGACGAGGATGAGCAGTTTGTGTATCATTTTTAAGTTCATAAACCACTTTTGAGCTCTGTTGCTGAAAGATGTCTTCTGTAAACTTTATTTTCAGTCACAGAACCACATATTCTTGGTCTGAATATATTCTCGTGGTAAGAATTCCTAATCCTATGCCTTATCCAGGAGGAAATAGGCTTGCATATTCTTCTGTCATTCCTTGTGTTGCATCAGTGCATCTAAAATGAGCCCCCACGTGTTAAAAAGACCCAGTGTGCAGTTTGTCTTTGGACACTTAGAAGGCTTGGCTGGACAAAGCCACAGCTGACTGATTGGGTATTGCCTGAAAGCAGGAGACTGGACTGGAGCCTTCAGAGGAGCCCGTCCAACCAGTACTGGTGTGATTCTATAATTCCCTAACTTCTTTGGAGCGGGCAGCATGTGGGCATTTCCTCTCACTGTGCCAGCCTCGGCAGCTGGGCAGGTACTGATTGTGCAGCACTTGAGGCTTCAAGGGGAGATGGAAGAGGTGCCTTTGATGGGAAGTGCCTTTGGTGATTTCCTTGTCTGAGCATTTTAGCTGCCTGCTTCCAGACAACATCAGCACTTGAACAATGGCAGCAGCTCCTGATGCTCACTGCTCACACAGGGCTGTCTGTGCTCTCGGGCAGCCGATGTGGGAGCGTATTGGGGGTGTCCAACCCTTATTCCAAAATTTCTAGCATCGTCTGCATGTAGGAGAGGTTCAAGGGCCAGTCCACAGGGACATCCAGCCCCTTCCACCCAGCAGTGCTGTGTTTCGGTGGTCAGATGTTAGTGCTGTTTTGCTGGGAGATGTTTTTCTTCCAGACACTCCTGGTTTTCCCTCAGCACAGCAGTATAGGAAGCTGAACTGCCTGCCTTGCACAACTGGCTCTACAATGCTTTCTGTCAATTTAGCAATAGTATTTTGGGGACCCTTTGAAGGCTATCAGAACTGATTTAAGGATAGAGTGGAGAACCTGAGTGTGGAAAATCAACTTTTCCCCTGTGTTTTGTCTGCTGTAGGATGTGAAATATATTCAAACAGACGGGTATCGGGCTCCAGAGGCAGAACTGCAGAACTGCCTGGCGCAGGCAGGGCTCCAGAGCGAGACGGAGTGCACCTCTGCTGTGGATCTGTGGAGTCTGGGAATCGTTTTACTGGAAATGTTCTCAGGAATGAAACTGAAACATACAGTCCAATCTCAGGAATGGAAGGTGAGACAACTTCTTGCACCAAATGAATCCTTCTGCTTCTTGTTCATAATCTGGATTTGCAAGGTAGCACCGGGCAACTAGGTAGTGTTTCCAGGATCTTTATCTAATCCTATTGTCTTGAGAATTAAGACTGTTGAGCCTTAAAGACCCACCTGCCCCATGGGACTGGCTTGTCTGAATGCTCCTTGTGTTCAGGTTCCTGAAATAGGAGTGTTCCAGGAGTTTGGAGTCTGTGTCTTGCGTAGATTTGGTAGGTAATGTGTGCTGGCTGTAGTTGTGGCATAGGAAGAAGAATAAAATGAGTAGCTCATGACTGTCAGCTAGTTCAGCAGCACAGTGGCAGAGGAATTATTTGCTGGGTTTAGTTTAATGTTAGCTGTAATTTGGGGATCTTCTTGTAAGTCTGTATCCTGAGAGAACAAGAGGAAAGCTCTGTATTGTGAGCCTGGAACCTGACCGTCCTCTGTTCTCTGTGAAGTAACTTTTTGTGCTCCTCTTCCCAGAAAGAGTGTCCTTTCAGCATCAGAATCTCCACAGCAACAGAAGTTCCTTGCATGTGGAAACTTGCAGCTTTTGCTGGCAAATGGGAAAAAGTAGACTTGATGTGAGCCTGCTAGTTTAACATGTGAGGCTTGGGCATTGGGGATCTCTCACCAAACCCCAGAGAACCACAGCCCTCTGCATCCACTCTGCAAAACGATGGCATGTTGCAAGCTTTGCACAGTCTGGTTTGTACCTCCCTAATCACTGTTTCTTTTTCTTTCCAGACAAACAGTTCTGCCATCATTGATCGCATCTTTGCCAGTGAGGGGGTGGTTAATTCAGCCATTCCAGCTTATCACCTCAGAGACCTTATCAAAAGGTACTGCAGCATATTTGATAAATGTTGCTTACAGATGTGCTCTGTAAAGTCAAGCCTTGCTCTTAGCAACTTAGAGCCCACACCTAACTCCTTTTTCTTTTCTTTTCCTCTTCTCTTCTCTTCTCTTCTCTTCTCTTCATTTTATTTTTTTAAATTTTTTGGTTTCCCACTGTGCTGGTAACAAGTGCAAGCATTAGCAGAGATGTTTCAGTTCCTCTGATTTTGGCACAATTTGGAGTAAGCACATAGAGAGCGTCAGTCATGGTGTTGATCATTTGCTGCTTCAGTGCTTTGCACTTGCATCAGAGAGATTGCATTTGGAGAAAACTGCACACTTTGCTGCTTTTGGGGATTGATATCATAAAAATGAGAGAAGGGGCAGAAAGTGCTGCTGTCCACTGCTGCCAAGATTCAAAGGCACTTTTGCAACTCTCCTGGGGAGTCTGACAAGAGGGTTGTTTTCACTGTCTTGTGACTGTGCTCCGAGGCTACAGAGGGAAGAAGACACAACTTGGCACAAATAGCATTGGGAGCCCCTGGTAAAGCCAAGTTAGGGATATTCTCAGGCAAGCTCTGGGTTTTCACCTGCTTTGAATCCCATTTGAGAAAAGCTATGGGAGCACCTTGCAGTGTGATAACTCTTATGAGACTGCATGTATGCCTGAAATGTGGGATGAATGGCCTGAGGATGTGGAGCTGGAACATTCTGTGCTCCTTTTAGCTTTGTAAGTGGGCAATTTTCATTGCTTGGTGCTGAGAGACATCAAGAAGGAAAGCCTGCTCCGCCATCTACGCAAAATGCTTTCAGGGGATCCTTCTGGTGCACTTCAGCTGCAAATTGCAAGATATGCTTCCCACTCTTCTCCTTGTGCCATAAGCACCCCAAAGATAGGGTGTTCCTCTATGCCAGCTTCCAGCCTGAGTGGAGTGTGTCAGTGCAGGAATGTCACATGCATGAACATAAAGGTGTCTTCTCTTACAGCATGCTTCATTGTGACCAAGGAAAACGAGCCTCTGCTGAGAAGGCTTTATGCAGCCCATTCTTCAGCATTCCCTTTGGTAAGCTGTGGCTGTGGCCCCTGCTCAGGACTCTCTCAGCATGTGCTGGAAGCAGCACAGAGGGCAATTAACTGTTGTTGTTGCTCTGGCCTTGTCGCTGCTCCTCTGTGGCACTTGCCAGCTCTCCGTGGCGTCACAGGAGGGAGGTCAGAGTGATGCCTGTGCTCCCAGTGCTGCTCTACTCCTCCAGCCCCACAGGCTGTCACTTTTTCCTAGCTGAACTCTGATCAAACTCTGCCCCCAAGAGTGTATTGGCAGCAGCATTCATCTGAGGGCACAGAAATAACCAGGATATTTACCTAACATTCTGACTGTTGAGGTGCATTTGAAGAGTGCAGTGCTATTTATGGTGAGGGGATGGCTTTTCTTACACCAGCTGTTTCCCAGTTCAGAAATCACCAGGAATATGAGCACCTTGGGCCTGGGCTGATGGTGGCATCTGCTGCTGCCTCTGCACAAGTGGTTTGTGGTGGCAGCCTGTTTCTGCAGTGACTGGCCTGGCTGGCCTGCAGTAACCTGTGTGGCAGATCATGGACAGATGTCACTGTCACTTTCATCTAGTGCTGTCCCTTTGATTTAACAAAATAGTGGTATTTCCTCAAGACCTCCCCATGTGCATTGCAGGCAGTCAGCAAGGATGGGCTGAGACGTCCCTATTTAGGCTTGTGTCCTTCCCTGTTTTCTGTTCCAAATGCAACTGAGTAGCATTCTCCAGAGCTTGTCTGCTTTCAAGAGCACCAGGGAGGAACTGTGCATCCCGGTTTTCTGAAGCATAAATTAATGCTTCAGGATGAGCTAGCATTTCCCCCTGAATCTTAGCCCTGCTTTTCTTAAGCTCCTTGGTGCACCTTGCAGGCAAGATTGTTAAGTATTGCTTCTTGTAGATACTGATATTTCTGTATGTCAGGCAAAGGTAACAAACTCATTCCTGTTTCTAAACTTCACATGTGTCTCAGAAGCTGGAGCTGTTCTAATCAAAGCTGCCTTCCATGGCTGAACCTTGCAGCCAGTACTGCTTTAGAGCAGAGGGAATTGTATATTGGCAGTGCTTTCTGGGCTGGTTTTAAACACACAGACCTCTAACTGTACTGAGAAAGGTGCTTCTGTGGTTAGTGCTTGGAGTTTTTAGAAGAGCTTCCATTTTTCTTAGTTCTCTTTGCTGCTTCTTTGACAGACTTGCACATATGCTTGTCTGCACAAAGAAGCATTTACTGCTGCTTTCCCAGCAAGTCAGAAAATGACCAGTCATTGCCTTTCACTTGGACACAGCTTTTCTGTTTAGAGCAAAGACAGCTGAGAATAGCTTTCCTTGTCATATACAGCTAAGTCCTGACTTTCCAGTTCATCAAGCTCGTTCCTGTGTTGTCAGTGTGATTGGTGTCACCTGGCATTTGCAGAGGAGCTGGGCAGAAAGTACCTCCTAGGGCAGAGGGGGATTGCCAGAAATGTTTTTGTCACTTGGGTACAAGAAGACCAGGTGTCTCAGTTCTAGGGGCTAGTTTGTCTCCCTCTCTCGAAAAAGACATATGAAATGAAGGACAGATTTACTTTAGTGTCTGTCTTTTCTCCCATGTAGCAAGTAACAGGAGAAGAAGAAACAGCCTCAGGTTGCCCTGGAGGAGGTTTAGATTGGTTGTTAGGAAAAATTTCTTCAGGGAAAGGGTTGCCAGACATTGGAACAGGCTGCCCAGAGAAGTGGTGGAGTCACTATACCCATTAAAAGATGTGTAAATGTGTCACATCTGGGGACATTGTTTAGTGGTGGGTTTGGCCATGCCAGCTTGGAGTTGATAATTTAAAAGCTCTTTTCCAACCTAAACGATTCTATGATTCTGCAAATAAAAGGAGTAGCATATAAGACCATGGTGACACTTAAATGTTCTTTCAGTCTTCAGTTCATCTGATGTGTCTTGGTTGCAAATAGTCCTATGGAGGAAGTCCTAGAGGTGCACTAGGGGCTGGAACATGCCTGGTTATGTGAAGACAGCACCTTTCTTCAATGGGCTGCCCTGAGAACTGTCTGGGCATCATCTCTACTGATAAGGCCTTCCACACTCTGAGCTTTTCCTAACGGCTCTTCCATGACAGGCAGGAGATTTACAGCATCTCTGCTTGCCTTGCATCTCTTCCTGCACTGTGAGATCAACATCTGACTGTCAGCTCCCTCACAGGCATCGTGTGCTTAGCTGGGAAAAGCATTTCGTAGAAAATAACAGCTCACTTTGCAGGCATGGTCAGAAGGCTCAGACTGGAGAAATGAAGCCATTTCCCTTTTCTCTCCCCTCTCACTGTGAAGTGGCAGAGCTGTGACATCCTGCTATTTATGTTCAGCTGTTGTAGCTGCCAAGACAAACAAACACATCAACACTCTCAGAGTACTGCAAGTTGGGTGCCCAGATCTTAAATTCATTAAATGGCCTGTCACTAGTGTACAGGAACATGAAATCAAGCTTTTTTTCCTGTAGAAGTCCCTGTGGCTTTAGGTTTCTGGAGGGCTGATTATCCTCCAAATGTGACTCTCCTAGCTTGTCATTAGCCTTTTCTCCTTGCCTGTTGCCTTCTCCCACAGTGGCATCTGTGCTACCCTGTTCCAGGCCATCCTGGAGCTGCTTGTTTTCTAGAGCCAAGTGCCCCATGCCCAACACCCAGAGGGTTTTATTTCTGCTCCTGTGAAGTCCTTCAAGGATCACTGCTTACACACCTTGGGACCGTGCCTGATCCTACAGCATTGCATTGTTTAAGTAGCTTAAGTATGGGGGTCTTCAAAACAGTGGATTACAGCTGGATTTTGGGGGGAGGAGGATTTAGATGGTGTTCAGGGAAGAACTAAAAGCTATTCTACGGAGATCTGAGGCCCATGCTGTAGCAGAGCTGAAGAATTGGAATTAGGGAAGCTGGCCAGCCTGTTTTCAGCTTGTCTGGGAGCAGTGACAGGAGAGGCAGTTGCAGAATATTCCTTTGATCTTCTCACATCTCCATATATATGGGGTAGTTTGTTCAACTAGCATAATTCTTGAGGTCACATCAGTTTCTGAGACTGGGCTAAGTAGACACAATTCTAGCTTTAATTTGAAAAGCAATTTCAGATGCTAGCCACAGAATAATTGCAGAGTGCACTGAACCCTTTGGAAGTGTCTCTCAGTGCACAGGTAAAGATAGGCTGGAAATGGAGAATTCAGACTATAAATACAGTTAATAGTGGAGAGAAGCAAAACTGTAGTACAGAGAGCAGTAAGTGCTTGAGTATCACAATGTGTATTGAGTCAGCTTCCTCTTTGCTTGCCCCTTTGACATTGACTTTGTTTCTTTAATTCTGTGGGTGTCAAACAGCTCCCCATATTGAAGACTTGGTGATGCTCCCCACACCTGTGCTGAGGCTGCTAAATGTTCTAAGTGATGCTTCTCTGCAGTGTGAAGAAGAATATGAAGGTTGGTGCAATTTCCATATAGCAATATTGTCTTACAGACCTTGTTTTCTGTGGCTCTGGGGATGTGAGAGCAAGAACGAGAGCAATTAATAGGCACAAGAACAGCAAACAGCTGCCCAGCTGAGCTTTGGTTGCAAGGGGTCAACTGCACCAACAGAGAATAGATTGAGACAGAGAAAAAGCAGAGCTTGTAGGGAATTCTTGAAGAATCCCAGATTTTAAAAAAAAAAATTATTTTCTTCTTTGGTTAGATGCCCACCGAGTTCACAGTGTGTCTGTGGCTCTGAGCTTCTGCTGGATATGTACAGGACTCGGAAGCCCAATAGCACAGATCCTTAAAAATTTGCTGATGAACTTACTCAAGATCTCAGCAGAGAACTAAAATTTCTCACTGGAGTTCCTAAAGTGTGGTGGATGGAAGGCATGGTGGTGGGATTTGTGTTTCTGCGTGCTGTCAAATCCACGTGAGCAGCACAAGTGAGAGGGCTCTGGGGACACGAGCTGAAAGGCCGAGTTCTGCTCACACAAAGAAGGGATTGTGCCAGCTCCTTCAGTTCCCCTCCTCCAAGTGCCATGGCAGGCACTCCTAAATCCCCAGTGTTTTAGCTACTGGAACCTGCTGCTGGAGGTTCACTGCCTGTGGGTCTCTGTTCCTGAGCCTCAGTTCAGACACTTCCATCTCATTACATGGCCATCAGTCAGTGTCAGCTTCTGCTGTGTCACCTGGTGCTTGTTTATTTTAAATTGAGAGGAAAGCAATATTTGTTGTCCGGGCTGTGTTCATGTCGCCTTCGCTTGTTTCTTGGCTCAAGAAACAAGTGGTTTGCAAAGTGAAAGACAACCAGCTCTTTCCTTTCCCAGATATCCTGGAAGACATAAAGGAGGAGTGTCAGAAATACGGACCAGTGGTTTCCTTGCTTATTCCAAAGGAGAATCCTGGTAAAGGCCAAGTAAGTGAATGAGGGGAAGGAGCTTTGTGTTCCTACATACACTCCATGCTGCAGGACTGCTGCTCAGTGCCTGGAAATCTCCTGGCTGATGGCAGTGCTAAAAATAAATGACTGTTTTGAAGGACAGCACAGGTTCCTTCCTGGTTATGTAAGGTTACCTAACCTGGGAGGTGCCTAGTCAGCTTTAGCATGAATAGAAGGAATGAAGAGGAGAAGCCAATGGCTGGGAGAGGAGCTGTGGAGGGTATAGACCACCAGCATACTTTCTCCCACCTTACTAAATGGAGGAGCAGGAGATGAAATCCCAGTTTAGAGATTCAACTCTTACCTCCAGTGCTCTCTGTTCAACCAAGGGTGGAGGGGAAAAAATCTGTTTAGGAATGGTTTCCTCCATTGCAGAGGTGGAAGGGGGCGAGTGGCATGGTGCACTGGAAGTCCTACTTCTCCTCTCTCTCTCTTTCAGGTCTTTGTTGAATATGCAAATGCTGGTGATTCCAAAGCTGCCCAAAAAATGCTGACTGGAAAGATTTTTGATGGCAAGTTTGTTGTGGCTACGTTTTACCCACTGAGTGCCTATAAGAGAGGATATCTGTACCAAAACTTGCTGTAGGCAGTAGCAACAATCAGGAGAGTTGTCTTGCTCCTCTTTCTCACGTGTTTTACGACTGAATGTGCAAAAGAGCTTCCTAGCCCTGCTTCCAAGTCATCTGTGAAGGAGAGGTGCAAAGGACTTGAATGGGCTTTGGAACTTTACTGCTGCTTTGTGATGTGCTGAGGAGGCCGGGAGGCTTTCAGCGCTGTGTGTGTGCTGTGCTTGCTCATTTACAGGGGGTGTGGCTCTGCCCGAGGGCATCTGGGGGGCAGGAGTGGGGACAGGGGGAGCCCCGGAGGCCGAGCAGATCCTGGCAAGGGCTTCTCAGTGATTTGAAGCGAGACCAGAGTCTTAGCCTTAGTGCTGGGCTTGGCTCCGCGGAGAGGATTTCTTTGTTAAGCTTTCCTGTAACCAAATCCTCCTCTCCAGTGTTGGAGGAGGAGGAAGGCTTGCCTGCTTTTTGTTGATACCTGTTATAAATAGAGAAGCAGAAACACCATCCTCTCTAAACCAGGAGGACTTTTGAGTCTTCTCCTCGCATAGAGCAGAGGAAGGCAATGAAATTGGATCTGCTGAGCCTGTGGGGTTACCCTGTCCTCGTGACCTGAGCAGAGCCACGCAGCTGATGCTGGGCTGGGCAGTGACATGTGGATGATGCTGCCTGTGGGGAGCTGAGCTTGCTTGTATGCCTGGGGTGGGCTGGGACTGGTGGTGGAGACGTGGTCAAAGCAGTGCCAGCCTCAGTTCCAACACAACCTGTAAGCACTTTGTAGCCTGAGTAGATGTGAAAACCCCGCCGCGTGGATTCATCTTTCTAGCACGTAGCCTGTGCTGGCCCTGATGCTCCCTAGCTCTGATGCCAAATGATCTGTGATGTGTAAGCGTCTTTCGGTGATATTTTTGGAAAGGAGTGCTGCAACACACAGTATTCTTTGTGTCACAGCAGGACTCCTGCCTTGGGAGTCTTATAAGAACAAATATTTGTCTGCTGTAGGTCCCACGCTTGGCTTTTCTGTGTTGTGCGTTTTGGTTTTGCATTAACCCAGTAAGACTTGTAGATTAGAAGCACTGACACTTTTGGTCCTTCAAAGGTTACAAAAAGGGCTTGAGGCAATCTGAGATCCTGTAGGGAAAGGGCTTAATCAGTCATCAGGCTGGACTGGCCAGGAGAAGGGCTTTCACAGTGTCAGGGACAACAGCCACATGCCTTTGGGGAAGATACTGTGGTGAGCAGCATCACTTCCCCCAGAGCACGCTCTGCTCCTGTGGCTTCAGTCAGCTGCTGCCAAGGGGCAGGCAGAGGCTCTTTGCCAGGGATTTCCAAACCCATGCACCCGGCAGAGCCTCTCCCTCCAGGGTGGGCACTCTGCTCCTGATGGGCACAGTGTGAAACAGCCCTGTTTAGAGAGTCACCAGTGTGACTGGCTTGTGGTCTTGGCCCAGTTTTAGTGAGGAGGAAAGCCTTCCTGAATTCTTTTCTCCAGATGAAATACTTGCGGACAGCTGCCAGAACCATCCCTGACCTTCCCTGGAATACCTGAATTACCTTGCAGTTTACTGTTTGCATCTTGCTGATGCTGGACTTGATGGAATCCTGCACTTAAAAAGTTCCTCTTGATTTTTTGCCCTGTGTGTGGTGTGTCAGGAGATCCAATGTCTGTAGCATTTCATGAGTCTGAGTTGCTCTCTGTGCTGGTGTATAGTGCTTTCTACTGTGGCCCTTACCAAACTCCCTCAGAAAGGACCAATCTCTGAATTCTTCTGTTGCCTTTGAGATGGTGGGCTTGCCAGGGAAAAGAAAAAAATAAAATTCCACAATGAGTTTTAAGGTGTGATTTGCTGATGAGATTTTTCTGGGAATGATGCTGCTTTGGTGTACATAGCTGTTCAGCAGCCTTTGCATAGGTGGGGTGTGTGACTCGTTGCTTTTAATTTAACTGTCCTGTGAGTGAAGCACCTTTTAGTGTCTGGGAGGAATTGAATGGTAACTGGGTGAGGGTTTCTCCTGTGTGGAGAGCCGTGTTTAAAGTATGGTTGGGTCTTGGCTGACTTTCTCAGCTCTGCATTACTGCTGTCCCTGGGGGTTGAGCCAGGGATCGGAGCGCTTTGGTGCAGACATGCACGTGTTGAATGCTGCCATGTCAGCAGCACTGAGCTGGCAGGAGCAGCCCAAAGCTCCTGCTCTGCTGAGTGCCAGCCCAGGTGGGGCCACAGGGAGCTCCCCTGGGTGCAGGGTGTGATGTCTGTCACTTTCAGCAACACTGGGACAGGGAGATGCTGGGATGCAGGTGTGGAACTTAAATGTCTTCAAAGTTCTCACGTGCATTTGTCTAGGACTGTGAGCTGCTCTGTCATCTTTCAAGCATGACTTTCAGTCAGAATTCTTTCATCTAAAGATAGAGCCGTGCCAGGATTGATCTTCGGAAAGGAGCTACAGCCTGTTCCTGCAGCATGGCAGCTCTTCCCACCAGAGTTTGGCTGGGGTTTTGTTCAGCTTCTTTAACAGAGGCTAAATAAATCCTCATGATGCAAACTCCTGCTACTAGACATTTTTCTCCAGATGTTCATTGACCAGGCTTGAGCACTGAGCTGGGTAAAAAACCCCAAAGCTGCTTTTCTTTATATTCCTCCTGGCGAGAGCTGAAGATGTTGATCTCTGTCCTGTCACTGGATCCACCCTTCTGCAGGCTGTGGGCTGCAGGGAGGTTTAGAAGCATTGTATTGTTACTTCTCACACTCTGCCTTCAAAGACTTATTCTATCAAGATGAAGCTCACTTTGGTGTCTCAGTGACCTGTTGGTGTCTTGGCATAAGTTTTAGCCCTGCTAAAACCTTTGAGTTCCTTAACTCTAGATTGTGTCTGCAGTATGCATGGTGATTCGGTCCAAGGCGCCTGTTGTGTGTCTGGGATGGGCCTGGCTTTCCTCATCTCCAGATTCCTGCTTGCTTGAGGTGCACAAGTGTTGAGGCTTTCCGCTCACATGCTCGCTGGGTTTCCTGGTCTGTGCTGCTCCCCGCAGTAACCCTCAGTGTAGCACCGACCTACATAGTCCTACCCGAGTTGTAGGGTAACTGCTGTTTAAATCACTGGCCAAAGCACAGGTCAGCTCCAGTCTTAGCTCTATTCCTAATTTTGTTCTCACTGGTCTTCAGCCTCGTAACAAACATAGCCTGAGCCCCGTGCTGTAGCCAGGTTCTCTCCAGAGGGTTCAGTACAGGTGCTGCTGCTGTGCCGGATCCTGTAACCACGTGCCTCCCTTCGGGTTCGATGTCAGTCGTGGTATCGCGTCACGCACCATTGCTGAGCAGTGTGCTTGGTACAGGTGATTAATAAACGATGCTTCAGTACGAGGTGGTTGTCCAGCGTGCCCTTCTTGTGGGACACTGAAATGTCGTGTAGCTGAGCAAGTTCTCTGTCACCGAGCACCAGGGCCTCAGTCTGGGGGACAGGACTGGGACCCGGCCATGGCAGTGTTGGAGTTTGTCCTGGGAGACCATGGCTGTCAGAACTTCCAGTTCCAGTGAGGGGTGGTCGTAGCTTGGAGGCGGGGAACCGTGGGACGGAGGGGGCTGTTAACATTATTATTAGGCTTTAACGAAGTAAGTTCATCGAAGGAGGGGAATTTCACCACAGCTATTGGCTCAGCAGCAGGACATCTTCCCCTTTCTCCTGTGGCTGGAAGGGAATATGCAAAGTATCACCTGCAAAGTACCATCGAGTTCCCCCTCCCTGCAAGGGTTTCCACGGAGCCTGGACGTGCTGTCTCCACTCTGCTTCCTCCATGCTCCTTAGCATGTGTCTGTATGGGCAATCACCTCGGAATACGTTTCAATTCATGCCAACTGCATTCCATCCAGTAATTGTGCTTTACCCTGTAAAGCAGTAACTGTGATTTCCTGTAATTTCCATACTCCTGTTATAACTCCTGTTAAGACACTAATAAAAATCTTCACATTCCTCTGGTTGCACTCGCAGTTAGCTGTCCTCAGCGTCCCGGGGCAATCTCCCCAGCCCCACACGCCGGGGTGGCCTCTGCGTGGCCGGAGCGCACCGTGTCCCCTCCCGGGCACTCGGGGCTCGGCTTGCTGCGGCAGCCCCGCTTACCCACGCCCCAAGGGGCACGTCCCACCCTGGCGCTGGCGTGAGGGTTCCCCGCACGATGATGTCCACAGGCGAACCGCCTGGTGAGGCAGAACGTCCCCGGGAGAGCTGCGGCTTGCACAGCGCCCGGGGCCGCCGCCGGGGCCCGCGTGGGCCGGGGCGGCGGCGGGTGAGCAGTTTTTTGGCTGCAGCCCGCTCTGACACTGGCCCGTCCCGGCACCGAGCCGGGCAGAGCTCCAGGGGCTCCAGGAGCTCAGGGTGCGGCTCCCGGGGGTGCCCCGTGCAGGGCCGGCAGCTGGACTCGGTGTCCCTGAGGGTCGCTTCCAGCTCAGCGCGTCCTGTCATTCTGGGGGTACCACGGGGCCCCGATGACGGCAGGAGCGCTGGTGCGTGTGTCATCGCTGCTGACGCCTCAAGGCTGCCGGGCCTGGCCGGGCTGACTCCTCCTCCGCAGGGACCTCGCCGGCGCATTTTGGGGTGGATTTGGGGCTTTTCCCTCCCCTCTCGCCGCCCCCGATCCCGCCGCGGCCGCGCGCTGACGTGGCGCGCGTTGCCATGGCAGCCAGCGGCGCGCGCCCCCGCCGGCGCAGCAGCGGCTGCTCCGATTGGCGGGGGCGCCGCGAGGGGGGCGGGCCGTCCCGCCCCTCCCCCGGCGCCCATTGAGTGAGCGGCGGGCACCACGTGGCACGGGCCCCGGCCATTGGCCAGCGGGGAGCTATAAAGGGCGGCGGCGGGCGGCGGCGGCCCCGCGGCGACGGCGGGCGGCATGGAGGCGGTGGCGGCTGAGGGGGACGCGGCGGCGGAGGAGCTGCGGGAGCGGCTGGCGGCGGGCGGACAGGACCATGTGCTGCGCTTCTGGCCCGAGCTGGACGGCGCGGCCCGCCGGGCGCTGGCGACCGAGCTGTGCCGCATGGACGTGGCTGAGATCAACCGGTTCTTCCTCCGCGCTCGCGGGGACGGCGGCGGAGCGGCGGCTTCAGCAGGGCTGGACGCGCGCATGGAGCCGGTGCCGCGGGACGTGCTGGGCAGCGCCTCCCGCGACCGCGGACTGGTGCCGCGCTGGGAGAGCCGCGGTAGGTGCGCGGGGCGGCGGGGCTCGGCGCGGCGCGGAGCCGGCGCGGAGGGCCCCACGCGTGTCTGCTCCCCCAGGGCTGGCGGAGATCGCGGCGAGTCGCGTGGCCGCGCTGCTGCTGGCCGGCGGGCAGGGCACCCGCCTCGGCGTCCCCTACCCCAAGGGCATGTGCGACGTGGGGCTGCCCTCCCGCAAGACCCTCTTCCACCTCCAGGCCCAGCGCCTGCGGCGACTGCAGCAGATGGCGGAGGAGCAGCACGGCACTCCTTGCCACATCCCCTGGTGATTCCCGGTCTCGGGGGGACAGGGCTCGTGGAGTGGTGTCGGCGGGGTCCGGCTGGCTCTGGTGGATCAGGGTCCTGTAGATAGGCATAGCCCTCTGGGTGTCAGCAGCCCGCGGTTTTCTGGGGTGGTGCAGTTCCCTTTGGCAGCCCGAGGTTAGGCTGGGTTGGTGCAGAGCCCCTTGGCAGCCCCTGGGTTGGTGCAGAGCCCCTTTGCAGCCCCTGGGTTGGTGCAGAGCCCCTTGGCAGCCCGAGGACCATGGACTGGCATTGCCCCTGTGTTGGTGTCAACACTTTGCAATGGGCATAGCCCCTTAGAGTGAGTGGTTTCAAGGCTCAGGGTGGCACTGACGGGTCCCACATTGTCAGACTCAGTCCCATGGCCCTTTGGGAAAGGTTTTCATGTCCCCATGCAGGACAGCAGCCATGAGGTGCTGAGGTGCTTTGTACACAAGGCACGAGCTGGCCACTGCAGCTGGGTGTCCCATGCACGGTGTTGTATGGTTTTGGAGATACGTGTTGCAAGGAAGGGTGAAACCCTTCACTGGCTTGTCAAAATGGTGGGTTCACAGCAGGTCACATCTTCTAAGTGTGGAGTAGGGGAGGCATGTCCTGGGTGTTCTCCACATTTGGAATGAGGGGTGTGAGACCCTGCTTCTCCTCCCTGCTCATTGGGTGTCTTCTACTCTGCAACAGGTACATTATGACAAGTGGCCGCACTATGGAGTCCACCAAGGAGTTCTTCCAGAAACATCGGTATTTTGGCTTGAAGAAGGAGAATGTAATCTTCTTCCAGCAGGGCATGCTGCCTGCCCTGGGATTTGATGGGAAAATCCTGCTGGAGGAGAAGGGCAAGATTGCTATGGCACCAGGTTGGTGGCCAGGGGTGAGGCATGGTGTTGGGGAGCAGCTTTTGGAACTGCTGTCTTCACTGTGACCTGGCCCATGGCTGACTCAGGCTGGGAGTTGTCTGTGTCTGCCCTGGCAGGGAGGACCAGGGTGGGGTATGGCTGGGCTGATGGCCCTCCACATCAGCCCGTGGGGAAGGAGGATGAGCGTGGGTGGCTGACAGACAGTGGGGCGTTCCCTCTGCAGATGGCAACGGGGGCCTCTACCGGGCCCTGGGCTCACACGGCATCATGGACGATATGGAGCGGAGGGGGGTGCAGAGTGTCCATGTCTACTGTGTGGACAACATCCTGGTGAAGGTGGCTGACCCCAGGTTCATCGGGTTCTGCTTGGAGAAGGGAGCAGACTGTGGGGCCAAGGTATGGTTTTGGGAGTAGGCAGGCACTGCTTCTGCACAGCTGGGTGGGGTCTGTCCTGCTCCTTGCCTGCCTTCCCTGACTTTTCACCCTTCGTTTGCTGGCTTGCCACAACCAGGAGGGATAGCTAAGTACCTGGAGCTCGCTGGTGAAGTAACACGTGCTGCCACAGTCCTGCCTGCCCCTGGCATCCTGCTCTTCTGCCTTGCACAGGAATATGACACCAACAAGCCCAGGGCTTGGAGGTGCCCCTGGGGTCAAGAGGCTGCTTGAGAGCCCTGTGTAGCTGCCTGGCACACACTCAGATGCTGGGCAGCTCTTCTCTGGGTGGCTGTGGCTAGCACAGGCAGACAGGATCCTTGCCATAAGCTGCCAGGTGTCCCCAGCCTGACATCCTGGGCACCAGCCCAGGACATGGGTGCAGCTGACACAGAACCCAGCCCCATGTCTTGTGTATAGAACACTGCACACTTAAAGCTTTACTTAAAGACTGACAGCCAAATGTTTTGTTTGCATTGGGCTCGGCTCTGGCAAACAGGCGAAAGGACTTACTGGTCTTGCAGCTTTCAGAGGGTAAGCTGAGAAAGGGAAGGCAGTTTCTTCTCCTGGCCTGCATGAAAGAAAGAGGAAATAAACCTTAGCATGCAGAAAGGAGAAAGTCCTGTGCCCCTGCTCTGTGGTGACAGCGGTGGGATTTGCTGGGGTATCTCATAACCCAGATGGAGGTGTGTGAGGTGCAAGGAGGAGAGGAAGGTCAGGGGGATGGCTCTGCTGAGCCAGCAGCCTTCTGGTTGTGAACAGCAAGCTGACTAAAAATATCCATGCCTGCTGCCAGCTGCACGTTAGCTTGGTGCCACATCCTGCTGTGCCCTCTGGGTGTGTCTGACACCTGTCACCCAGCCCTGCCATCAAAGCCTCCTCTAATCCCCACTGCCAGAAGCACCTGGGAAGGGAGAGCTCCAGCATCACCATCCCAGCAGAGGAAAAAGCCTTTCTAAGTAGGGCCCTCTGTTTCCAAGGGAGTGTGTTTGAAGCGTGGGGCTTTGGGTGCCTTTCCCTGACAGTGCTTTCCTTGGGCAGGTGGTGGAGAAGACCAACCCCACGGAGCCGGTGGGCGTGGTGTGCCGGGTGGACGGCGTGTACCAGGTGGTGGAGTACAGCGAGATCTCCCTGGCCACTGCCCAGCGGCGCGGCCCGGACGGGCGGCTGCTCTTCAACGCGGGCAACATCGCCAACCACTACTTCTCCACTGCCTTCCTGAAAGATGTGGTCAAGTAAGGGCCTGCTGGAGCTCCAGAACAGGAATGCTGGCGCTGAAGTGCTGCTGCCGAGCAGAGCTGGCTGTGCCTTGCTTGCTGCTGGTTGAGCTCCAGGCGTGCTGGGATGAGGCCCCTGCAGAGCTGGTCCGACCCCTACCTGTCTGCACAGCCCCTTCCTTGAGATAAGGGTGCTCTGGGCCGTATCTGGATGCTGCTTCCAGGGTGCAGGCATGTGGGGCTGTCTCCTGCTGCTGTGGGGATGAGCAGCCTGTGCCTTGGGCAGCTGGGGTCAGAGCAGGGCAGCCATCCTGCTGCAGCCGTGTCTGAGCCGGGGATGTGGCTTGCTGGGACAAGTGACATCTCTGTCTTGGCCCGTTGCAGCACTTACGAACCGCAGCTGCAGCACCACGTGGCTGAGAAGAAGATCCCACATGTGGACATCACTACAGGGCAGCTAGTCCAACCTGAGAAGCCCAACGGGATTAAGATGGAGAAGTTTGTCTTCGACATCTTCCAGTTTTCCAAGTATGTCCTTTGCTCTCCATGGGGAGCCTCTGGGGTTGTGCCAGGGTGTGCCCACTGGCGATGCCCCGGGACCAGGATAGGGTGGCAGCTGGAGGCATGGGTGTTGCATGCCTCTTGCTGGTCTGAGCCCTGCTCCTGTGCCAGAGGGACATCTGTTGACCCTACAGGCCAGGCCCTCCCCTCCCTCCTGCATGGCTGTGGAAACAGCCCGTGGGTGTGGGCTGGGGGAGGGCTGTGGGCCCAGCTCAGTCACCCTGGCAGGAGAAGCAGGCACAGTTTCCAAACCTGACCGTCCCATGCTGTGTTCCCGCAGGAAGTTTGTGGTGTACGAGGTGCTGCGTGAGGATGAGTTCTCTCCCCTGAAGAACGCAGACAGCCAGAATGGCAAGGACAACCCCACCACAGCCCGACATGCCTTGATGTCCCTGCACCACTGCTGGGTTCTCAATGCAGG